GATAACCTCTCCAGTGGACGAGGTGTTGACGATTACCCTTTTTACCTTTTGAGCGCACTATATATGCTATTTTGAATGCCTCGGGCTTCGTGACCTTCTGAAGTTCTGCTTCATAAAACGTGCCCTGAATCGGATCCTTATCGAGATCTTCCAGCCTGTACACTGGCATCGAATGAGGAATGACCTGAATGATTTTAAATATCTCCTCACTCCAGTTCCATGTATACCCTTTCTCGAACGTTTGTTTTTCTCGGCTGATTCGGACTTGATCACCCACTTTAAACTTGGTTTTCTTATTAGTAAGGTTATGTCCATTGTACAGATTATTATACACTTCGAGTACACGCTCTGGTGTGACGTACGTGGTCGGTTTTGTCAACAAAAGCGATCAACTGCAACATAAATAATTTGTCTGCTGATTATTATCACTTTTCGTAACATAGGTATGGAATCAAATTAACGCTTACTTTTAAGTTTGTGCTGCACCCGGTGAGAAATATCAGGAGATCCTCCCGTCCGATTGAATTCTTGTGTAGTTTAACAAATGATGTACACTAAAATCTTTACCTTTTAAAGCAGCAGGCCTCCTGTTTAACCTCTGCAACTTGATGTGAATGTTTTCGTAACGAGTATATTCCTTGCGGCGTTTCCTGTTGTAGGATACCTCTCGAGTGAGTCAAATATCCCGGACGTTGCAATGAGGAGCAGAAATATGACTGTCGAGGACGCTAGGAGCTGTATAAGTAGTTGTCAGCATCAAGAGCCATTCTTTGACCAGTGCACTTGTATGTTTGAAATACCCACTCTTAAAGTACGTGACTTTCGTGTCAGTTGGGCTGTCATGATTTTATCGTATTATTTTCCTTACAGCCCCCTCGACTAGCAGCTGGGATGGTATTTTTGAGGCATCAGATTTATTACGGGACAACACAACTGTATCCAAACGCCCTACGATCGTAAAGAGGGCCTTGTTTTGTAACCAAGAAAAAGGTATGGAGCCATTAATATTCCTAACTTCCTTGTTGAAGCATTGTTTCCAAGAACAACACAGTAATTTTTTATTCAAAATATAATTCCAGGTGACAACAGTGGCATGCTGTTCGCAAGTTCTTCTGCAAATACTTCATTAGAGACTCTATTGAGATTTTTTTACCCAAGTCATTTGAAAGTACTTCAGGCGAAGGTAGCGCTGAACTCAGGCAAATACCATTTGAGTTCTCGAGGAAAGGAGAGATTGGCCCGCCACATACGCCAACCGTGTCATGCCAGTTGCAAAAGATGTGAGAAGCCAAAACTCACAGACGATGAAAGGCGTTCAATTTTCAACAAGTTTTGGTCTTTGAATGGTCATGAGCAGCAGTGGAAGTTTATTTCTGATTCAGTCATGCTTTCACTACCAAAAAGAAAGTCTGCTTCAATTGGGGCTAAAGGGGCAAAAACTAATACTCGATCTTACTACTTCAATACCAGTAGTAAACCCAAAAGATTGTACAAAACAATGTTTAAAAATACTCTTTGTATCTGTGATTCTTGGATTGATAATGCTCTGTCTCATTTTAGTAATGGAACACACATCCCAGACATGCGAGGGAAAGCTTATAAAAAAATCAAAATTAAAGAAGAGCAGTCCTAAAAACTTTGTGTAGCATGAATATTATTTTTCTTGATTGGTGTATGTTATTTTATTAATCAAAGACCAAGGGCTCAATTGCGCTGTAGGGATTGTTGAATAAATAACACAAAAAAGAGCTTGATGTAATGAACTTTGAGTACCTAATGGAAAGTTTTTATCTTTGGCAGCTGTTATTGTCAACAATTTTCTTTCCTGCATCTGATGGTGAAGAACTTTCACTTGGCTGTAACCAGGTCTTCCAAAGGCATTATGCTAGATATGAATGGAATTATGCAAAGCATAAGATCTTAATGTTTTTAGCATATGTAGTAATTTTCGTAGTCTAATGTTGATGACGGTCTCAGTTTGGTATATTGATTTGCAATATGTTCTCTCCAGTTCAGTTACATAGGAAAGAAATGACCTTGCAATTTTGTAGTGCTTTCTTTCAGTCTTTTCTACATCTCTCTTAACAGCTGTTAAATATCCCCCTTTTTTTTATCTTTGTTTCTTGTATTTGATTCCAGCTTGTATTTTCAAGATAAATAAAATTTACTATGAACTATAAGACGTGACAATTAATCCACACCCATATTTCTACTGATGTATGAACAAATACATAACAGGAATGGATAGTACTGATTCAGTTTCAATGTTTTGAGAGCATTATAGTGGCATAATTAGAGGCCATTAACGAACAGGTGCATCAAGGAGTTCTGTGTGACTAGCCTTCTATACTTAGATTACCTATCATAGATAGTAATCTGTCACTAGAAAAGCAACTTTTTAATCAAAGTCCTTCACAATACGACTCACGTTCATATGAAAGTTTGAACTTCGATGCAAGAAGTAAATTATAAGCTTTTGGGTCCTGAAGGGTGTCAGTGTAAGATCTTAAATATATTGATGTAGTAAGGGACACAAAGAAAAAGGTATAAATTACAATTTGTTTTATTTAAACAAAATTAAAGCAATAAAATGTACAAGAGTCTTACTCTGTACATTTTTCAAAACAAAAAAGGAAAGGTAAAAAAACTCAAACCTTGAGTAATGTTTTTAACAAATAACATTTACAAAAGTGAATACTTGGCTAGTAGGGTGTCAACTGCAAGCAATAATCAAAGAAGAATTAAATGCAGCACTATCGTGCATGTTTGCAAAATGATAAAACAAGATAAGTTTAACATTCTTAAGAGAAATGATACCAACCATGGAAAATGGTACTGATGATTTAACATAGACAAACTGCAAACATGAATGAGTGCCTAATTAAAAGAATTCTTGATAAGGAAAAGTTGAAAATAAACTGTTTACTAAAACAATGAAGATAAATTGAAAAACCTATCTTAGTCAGGGTAAGCAATACTCATTGGAGAATTAAATGCAGAACTATCGTGCATGTTTGCAAACTAGGAAAACTAGAAAAGTTAAAAATTCTTTAGAGAAATTAGGATACCAATCATGGAAAATGGTACTGATGATAGACATAGACAAACTGCAATACTGCTGTGCCTAATTAGAAGCGTTCATGATGAGGCAAAATTGAAAATATACTGTCATTGTTTTAGTATAATACTAAAACAATGAAGATAAATTGAAATACCTATCATGGTCACGAGGTACGATTTAACACAGGTGATTATGGACATAAACTGACATAGGAGGAAAGGCAATACACTTGACTCATAATTGAGAACCGACATATATGCCGCATATGCAAGACATTTCCTCCCTTTCATCACAGAATAGAGCCCGGATTATACACGGAAACACCCTACCCCGTGAATCAAGAGGAGGAAATCAAGTCCGCCACACCAACAATTGCAATTATGATAATCGTAAAACAGAAAAGGTATAAAAGAGAACAGCCAAAGGGATAATATGAGTAGTAATACTGGGGCTGGGTAACGCTTGCCTACCTCCCAGGCGTCAGGCGGCGCGCAGGACGGGTAGCGGGCCTCCAGCTTTGTGGTAGGGTGGGGGGATCCCTCTCAAGGAGTGGGGGTACGGTTAGGGTGGGGGTTTGACGTCATGCAAAATGCAGCACCGTGGCCTGGGCTCGAACCTGTGACTGCAGATTTCTACAATTCTACGTCTGTCTCTTGTGCGACCGCGGCTACCGCGCGCTACACACGTGACTTGCGCTCGGACTCTGTGTCATTCTGCAGAACACAATACTGTGCTCGGTCGGCTGCCTATCCTGAGGGCGCTTGGCTCACGCGTGTTGGGTGGCCTACCTCTCGGGGCATGGAGGGGTGAACTGGTGAGAAAAATAAGGAGGTAGCAAGGTATTTCTATAGTCGTACAAATAATGAGTACATACAAAGATCAAGTCGCAGTAAATTTTTCAGAGTATCGTGACTCCTTGATACCCGAACCTCGGTTGGTTTGGACACACAACACATGCTTCGAGGTTTTTGTTTGGAGGCATTTCATGTCATACTGAGCGTTTGTGAGACGTTGCGTAGCGTTCTGTTACGTTTCTTTCAGGTAAAATGAGCCTCGCTCGTGTGGCCGAAATTGACGTCGTGTGCTGCAGAATCAAAGTCAGCACAGCTTTCGCCGCACCGCAGAGGCAGTGCAGGCAGATCGTCTCTCGCGAGAGCGCACCGCGCCGCGACACGGCGTAGCGCGCAGCGTCAGCTTACCGCATCACCTTGCATTCAGCTGTCGGGGCACTTGTTAGGGTTATGTGGTAGATTCAAAAAGGTCAGCTTCGAATAAAAAATAATTTAATGATAGGATACAGAAATAAGCGAAACATCAAAATCATCACGTACAGTTCAAATACAACATTGTCAAAAACTAACAACACGATAAACGCTAAGGGGATACAAGTCGTTCAAAAATTCTATCCTTAATTAACGAAAAATGATACGCTTTGAGTTCTTCTCTTAAACAGCTAATATCAAGACAATCGTTCAGATTCGTGTCTAGTGTATACATGGTCATAATAGAGGTAGAGGTTTTGTCCATCCCGTTTTGTATAAGGGAGTTGAGGTCTGCGGAGTTGGTTTTGTTAGGGTCACCTGTCTTTCTTTCTAGGTAAGCAGTGACTTCTTGAATAAACTGCTCTAGGTAATGGCCGATGTACGATGCGCTTTGTGTCAGCTTGACTGTTGTCATTCTGATCAGATCTCTGAGATGCCCAAATTTGTTCCATGTTGACGAGGCACAGAAAAATAAATTATACTCCATCCCACGTCGTTTGATTTTCACAGACTTCCCTCCGTGTTTGGCAGTATACTGTGAAATCTCCAATCCACCGACATGGAATGGCGGCGTAATGTCTTCGTTTCCCAACGACATGGACTGAATACGGTTGAAAATGTCGTCCTTCATGAGCAGGTACAGCTCATCTAGGGAAACACGCAACGTGTTCGAAAAGTTGGGCCGGTGATCGGCAAAGAAAGCACACGTTTGTTTGGTGTTGAGGTCCACCCCCAGAATAAGTGATTTGGAGTTATTAATCAGTGAAGCGTTTGTGAGTGGGATAACGCGCCTGTTAGTGAGATGAACAGGTACACTCATACCGGTAGGAGGTTCCACAAAATTTTCAATGTGTGGGTCATTTTTAGGAGACAGCCCACCTATGCCTGCATCAGCCATTATGTGAGAGAGCTTGTCTGTCGCAGCAGTCTGTTCATTGAGAAACCGATCCCGTGTTTCACTGTGTAGCTCGTCAAGTGAAGGTGCCTTTGGCGTGTGGTGCAATCTTTTAGGGGCACGTTTCTTGGTTTCTTTCCCGCTCATTTTTAAAGTGTGGATGTGTAAAGCTCCAGAGTGAAAATGTGAGGCCTGAGCGGCTGTCCGGCGGTTTTAAACCGTCCCTGGGAGTCGGAAGCAGGTTGCGACAGGCTTGTCAAATGACGTGGTGGGGGTACCCCCACCGGCACCCGAACAGCCGCCGGGCGCGGCACTTCGTGATTTTCGGAGGGGGTAGCCGCCCTGCCCCTCACCCACACCGGACCGCCGGATGCGACACTTCGTGATTTTTGGAGAGGGTAGCCGCCCTGCCCCTCATCCTAATCGGACTGTCGGGTGCGATACCTCCCTACCGCTCACCCTAATCGGCCGAGGACCCGCCGCGCCCGTCCCGCGTCCCCGCGCCGCCCGCG